TATATACTTGGATTGGAGCACATCCTGGAGCTTTGGAGAGTGGTAGTCAGATGATCAACTGAGGTGCGGAGGTATACCAGAGGATCTCCGAGTTTACCCCCAGGATGATGATGACCAGGAGTGGTCTATGTACTCAAATGCGCTTCTAACTGCGCTATCTGCTTAGTTCAATATTTGCTCAAATTTCACATTCACTGGAAGCACGGAAGTTCACTTTTATTATTTATTGGACTATTATTATGATGTCACTATCGCACTTTATGCGTCATTTTTAGACGCTACTGACACTGCTATCCTAGTGCTCCAGAGCACATTGTCTACATTCTTATTTATACACGTTCTACGTTGATACTAATCTGATTGTATTCTGCTTTTGAGATATTCAACATGTGTTATATCACACTTGCTTGATACCCTGTGTATATATATATATATATATATATCATTATTGGCTGCTTTGGTTGCACCTTATGTGTCACATTCAGACTCAAATTTCTTCTCAACAACTTTATTGAGCTGTTTCAACATTATTAGTATTTTTTATATATATTGATTATTTATTGAATGTCCTACTGATCATGTTCATTTTGACCGCTTCTAGCACTGCATTTCTGCTGCTTATATAAATGTTTATAAGGGTTGGAGGTTACCTTTAATGCCAGCTGCTTTGGTCCATCTTACCCAGTGCTCATATATATATACGTACATTTCTTATGCAGAGGCCTGGTTGGGAAGGACACTGAGGACAATAAAAGCTGGTGTCTTATCTAACTCCTCTTCTGGAGCACACCCCGACATTTTTTTTGACGTCTTTGACCTCTTTCTCTGCGAGGGACTTTTTCAGGAAAATGCTGTTCGTGGAGTCTACTCACTGCATCTGAGCGAGCACTTTCTGGTGGGCCTCCAGGGTACAAAAGGGCAGTTACAATTTCCTCCTGATAGCAAAGAAAGGACATGGGTGTCTCGGTGGATTTCCGGTAGATTATATACTGTATGTGTTATAAATGGCCAAATTAAAAAAATAAATGGATACTTTTTTATACCAATGGTGGGTTCTTCTTACAGCAAGGTAGGGCTGGATCATCTCATCATTGAAGTCAACTCTCCCCATGAACAAATTATAATCATGAACACATTCTGGTTTTTGGAATATGCCATTTCTTCTGGTAATTTGCACGTGGGTGTCATTATGAATCGATGAGAGAGCATGTAGATGTCTCGTTTATCCCTCCACTTCATAGCTAATATCTCTTCGTTCCACAAAGTCACCAACTCCCCTCGCTGTAGTCTTGTGTTCACCAGCCTTTGCGGGAAGCCCTTCCTATTAGCGCTCACTGTGCCACATGCTAGTGTTCTCCTTCGGTGAAGATTGCGGAAAAGGGGCAAGTTGGTGTAAAAATTATCAACCTATAGATGATAAACCCTTTTCAAAGAGTGGAAACACAAGCTCCCAAACAACTTTTCCACTTGTTCCAATGTAATCTGGGCATTCAGGGGGATGCAGTTGGCTGTCCTTTCCTTCATACACAAGGAAGGCGTACACCCCATGGCTCTGTCGCATAATTTATAGTTTAACCCCATATCGGGCCCTTTTGCTGGGAATAAACTGATTGAAACTCAGCCTGCCAGTGAAGGGGACAAGCGACTCATCCACGCAGATATGTTTGTCCGGGACAAATAATTGGGCGAATTTATCAGAGAAAAAAATTAAGGAGTGGCCGAATTTTATATAGTTTATCATATGCTGGGTCATTTTGGGGAAGGCACTGGGTGTTATCATTGTAATGCAGAAACCTCATGATCATTTGATATCTTGTTCTGGACATGACTGATGAGAAAATTGGCATCTGATGGATTGGGTGGGTAGACCAGTAGGAGTGTAATTTATTTTTTTTTGTGAGTCCCATATTAAATGTGAGGCCCAAAAATGTTCTAAATTTCTCCACTGTCAACTGCTTCCATTCATAGGGACGGGCATAACATGAATCTGGGTTAGTGGCTATGAATTGTTGGGCATAGAGGTTGCACTGGTCCACAATTGAATTTGGAAAGTCATTGGTAAAAATTTAAAAAAATCGATAGGGGCAAAATTTTCTGTGTTCACCTGGACTCCTGGCTGGGCAGTAAAAAGGGGGGATGTTAGCTGCTCCAGAGTTAGAGGGAAGCCACAGGGGATTTTGAAGGGCATATGGAAGAGCGGCATGGGTCCTAACCCTTTGGGGCTGAGGTGACACCTGACTAGGACCTGGTCTTTCTTGAGTTTCTCCATTTCTGGTGGAAGCCACTGCTGTGCTAGTGGATGCCACTGCGCTACTTGTGGTAGCCTGCTCCTCACCAGAACGCCTTCGTTTGATGGGCACACTTTCCTCTTCCTCCTCCGATGATGATTCTGTAGCAGATCCACTGCTTAAAATGGGCTCATAAACCAAATCAGAACCACACTCATAATCCAAATCAGAATCAGGCTCAGAGAGCTCCCCACTGCTCTCATCGGTCATGGTTAAGATTTGGTAGGTCTCCTCACAAGAAAATATTTTTTTTGGACATACTGGGACAGATGAGGCTGCACTGCTGGGTGCTGAGGGGGTGCACTGCTGGGTCCTGACGAGGGTGCGCTGATGGGGATGCACTGATGAGGGTGCATTGATGAGGGTGTACTGATGGGTGCTGATGAGGCTGCACTTGTTGGTGTTGATAGGGGTGCACTGCTGGTCGCTGATGAGGGTGCGCTGTTAGGGGTTCACTGATGGGTGCTGATGAGGCTGCACTAACGGGCACTAATGAGGTTGCACTGATGTGCAATTATGCACTGCACTGAGGCTGCACTGATAAACTGCCACTGATGTGCTCTGATGGGTGTTAATGAGGATCCACTGATAGGGTGGTACTGATGTGTATGAATAAGTGGCACTGATGTACACCGATAAGCTGCAGTAATTAGGTAGCACTGATGGTAACTGATGAGCACCAATAAGTTGCAGTGATGAGACAGCACTGATGAGCTGTAGTGATGAATCAGCACTGGTGGACACTGATGAGCCCTCACTAATGGGCACTGATGAGCACAGGTGGGTACTGACAGGCACCGATGAGCAGATGGACACTGATGTGCACTCACTGGCGGACACTGATGAGCACAGATGGGCACTGACAGGCACCGATGAGCACATATGGGCACTGATGAGCACTGACTGGCACCGATGAGCACTGATGGGCACTGATGTGCACTCACTGGCGGGTACTGATGAGCACAGATAGGCACTCACTGGTGGGCACTGACATGCACAGATGGGCACTGACAGGTACCGATGAGCACAGATGGGCACTGACAGGCACAGATGAGCACTCACTGGTGGGCACTGATGAGCACATATGGGCACTGACAGGCACCGATGAGCACATATCGGCACTGACTGGCACTGATAAGCACTGATGGGCACTGATGTGCACTCACTAGCGGGTACTGATGAGCACAGATAGGTACTCACTGGTGGGCATTGACATGCACAGATGGGCACTGACAGGCACCGATGAGCACAGATGGGCACTGACAGGCACAGATGAGCACTCACTGGTGGGCACCGAAGAGCACAGATGGGCACTGACGGGCATCAAGGAGCACAGATGGGCACTGACGGGCACTGAGGAGCACTGATATACACACTGGCGGGAACTGATGAGCACAGATGGGCACTGTAGATCACAGATGGGCACTGTAGAGCACAGGGCACTGTAGATCACAGATGGGCACTGTAGATCACAGATGGGCAGTGTAGATCAGAGATAGGGCAGTGTAGATCAGAGATAGGGCACTGTAGATCAGTGATAGGGCAGTGTAGATCACACTCACGGTTGTAGGAACCGATTCTCTCTCCTTTCCTCAGACACGGTATTGGTATGAGGAAAGGAGAGAGAAAACCCAGCCATGACCCTGCTGTGTGTACATTTGTGATCACTCTGTCCAATGATGAGCGATCACAAATGTAAACAGTCGCTGTAAGTGTCTGTTCACCCCCCTCTTCATGATGTGCTGTGTCCGAGGGACATAACCATCACTGACAGTTCCCAATGCGCGCCGCCGGGGCGCGTGAGAAGCGCGATCACAGGAGGACGTCATATGATGCCCTCCCAGAACTGGCCGGCCGCGGTGTAGCCATAATTCGGCTATCAGCAGTCGGCAAGAAGTTAAAGTATGTTTTGGTATTAATTTGGCCTTCACATTTAAACAAGGACAAGTCCAAAAAATCTATTTGATTGAAATTACTCATCATGGTAATTATTAAACCATATTTATTATTATTCATGGATTCTGTGAAGAGATTTAATTCTTCTTCAGTACCCTTCCACACTTTTATAATATCATCGATGTATCGTTTATATAATACCATCTCTGGCCACTTCTTGTAGATGAATTCTTCCTCCCATTTCTCCATCCATACTACATTAGCAACACTCGCAACATATTTGGCTCCCATAGCCACTCCCTTACACTGTTTATAAAAAATTTTATTATACCAGAAGAAAATTATTCTCTATTGCAAATTCCAATAATTCTTACTTAGTAATAATGTACTCTTACTACTTGACCTCTCTGCGGCTTTTGATACGGTTGACCATCCCCTCCTCCTAAAAAAACTCCACTCTCTTGGTCTCAGAGACTCTGCTCTCTCCTGGTTCTCCACCTACCTATCGCAGCGCTCCTTCGGCATTACCTATAACGCTGCCTCCTCCTCTTCACTCCCTCTTTCTGTAGGGGTGCCTCAATGATCTGTCCTATGACCCCTTCTCTTCTCCATCTACACCTCCTCCCTTGGTCACTTGATAAACTCCCATGGCTTTAACCACCTCCTGCCCGCCATATAGTAATATGACGGACGCAAGGTGGTTCTCTTGTTCTGGGAGGACGTCATATGACGTCCTCCCATTCTCACCGCGCATGCGCGGCTCAGGGAGTGCGTAGCGCGGCAAACGGCAGTGTGGTGTGTCCCTCGGACACAGCGGATCACCGATCACGAAAAGAGCTGAAGATGTCGGCTCGGTCATGTGTCTAATTACAGCTGATCACATGTAAACAGGGAAATGCCGGTTAGCGGCATTTCTCTCCTCTCGAGTTGTCATGCTGACAGCTCGAGAGGAGAAGAGAGGAGAGCCGGTAATCAGCTTTCCACGGAGGGGACATGTACACTGATCATCAGGGCACTGATGATCAGTGTGCCCTGATGATCAGTGTAGCCCCAGCAGTGCCTCGTGCCAGTGCCCATCAGTGCCACATCAATGCAACATATCAGTGGATACCAGTGCACATCAATGCCACATATCAGTGCCCATCTGAGCTGCCTTTCAGTGTCACCCATTAGTGCCCAGTCAGTGCCACCTATCAATGCCAATCAGTGCCACCTATCAGTGCTGCCAATCAGTGCCACCAATCAGTGCCAGTCAGTGCCACCTATCAGTGCCGCCTATCAGTGCCAGTCAGTGCTGCCTAACAGTGCCAGTCAGTGCCACCTATCAGTGCCATATATCAGTGTCACCTTTCAGTGCTCATCAGTGATGCCTGTCAATGCCCATCAGTGCCACATACCAGTGCCTCCTCATCAGTCCCCATCAGTGCCACCTCTCAGTGTCCATCAGTGCAGCCTATCAGTGCCCATCACTGCAGCCTCATTAGTGCACATCAGTGAAGGAGAAAAATCACTTATTTACAAAATTTTATAACAAAAACTAAGAAAAAAACATTTTTTTTTCAAAATTTTCAGTGGTTTTTGGTTTGTTTCAGAAAAAAAAAAACCCCAGAGGTGATTAAATACGGCCAAAATAAATCTCTATCTGTCACAAAAAAATAATGAAAATTTCATATGGCTCTAGTGTTGCATGGCCACACAATTGTCACTCAAAGTACGACAGTGCTGAAAGCTGGAAATTGGCCTGGGCAGGAAGGGGGTATAAGTGCCATGTAGGCTTGTGGTTAAGTACCATCTCTATGCTGATGACACACTAATCTATCTTTCTATCCCTCACCTCACCCCTTCAGTCTGCTTTCACATTACTAACCTACTAAGCGACATATCGGCATGGATGTCACTCCACTTCCTCAAACTCAATCTTTCCAAAACTGAGCTCTTAGTATTCCCCCCAGCCCGTGCCCCCTCCCTGACTTCTCCATAAAGATCAATAACACAATCATCATTCCCTCCCCTCATGTCAGGGTACTAGGTGTACTCCTAGACTCCCATCTGTCCTTTCAGCCCCAAATCCAATCACTGTCCAAATCTTGTTGACTTCACCTCCGCAACATCTCCAAGATACGCCCGTTCCTAACCTTGTAAAACCACTAAGCAACGTATTCACTCCCTTGTTATATCTCGCCTTGACTATTGCAACTCCCTCCTCATTGGCCTACCGAATCGCAGGCTATCCCCTCTTCAGTCTAAAATGAGTGCTGCTGCCAAACTCATCCACCTTACTAACCGTTCTGTATCTGCCACCCCTCTCTGCCAATCCCTCCACTGGCTTCCCATTGCCGAACGGATAAAATTCAAAACATTAACAATAACGTATAAAGCCATTTATAATTCTGCCCCAAATTACACCAACGATCTTGTCTCTAAATATCACCCAAACCGTACTCTCCGCTCCTCGCAAGACCTCCTGCTCTCTAGCTCCCTTGTCTCCTCCTCCCATGCTCGTCTCCAGGACTTTTCCAGAGCTTCCCCCATCCTCTGGAAATCTCTCTACCCCAATTTATCAGCCTATCGCCTACTCTAATTACTTTTAGGCTATCTCTGAAAACCTATCTCTTCAGGGAAGCCTATCCTGCCCTCAGCTAATAATGGAATCTTCTACTCTTCCAACCAGTCCATCCCCCACAGTTACTACCTTTTGTACCACTAGCCCCTCCCTCCTAGATTGTAAGCTCCAAGGAGCAGGGCCCTCCTTTCCCTCTTGTATTGAACTGTATTGTTGCTGTATTGTCTCCCGTTATATTTGTAAAGCTCTGAGCAAACTGTTGTCGCTATATAAATCCTGTATAATAATAATAATAATCATCTTGATCTATACTTGTATACAATGACTCAACATTTATTGTTACCAACAGAAAGTCTTCTACATTCCTCAAAGGTTTAAGGTGTTTAATCAAAGTTCCACTATCTTTCAAAAAAGATTCATTTTTTATTATCACAACTTCTTGCAAAAAAAGTGGTCAATGTACTCTTCAATTCTCGCAAATATTGAGTTAATACCACTTACAATAGGCCTACCTGGTGGTTTGGTTCTATTTTTGTGTAATTTAGGCAGAGAATAAATCATGGGAATTCTAGGGTTTTTTAGTAGCAAATATCTTGATTCTTTTTTTTTCAAAACTCCTAAATCAGTACCTTTTTTAATGATCTTTTTTTAGTTGGTTTTTAAGAATTTTAGTAGGATTTTTTTTCAGTATTAGGTAAGTATCTTTTATATTTAATAATCTCTCCATCAATTTTATTTAATACCACTATACTACCCCCTTTGTCTGCAGCTCTAATTACCACATTTTTCTTTTTTTCTAGTTCTTTTAAACCCATCTCAATGTCACGAGGGATAATATTTTTTTGTTTTTAAACTGAATTTTTTTAATATAATTTTCAACCATTTGTTTAAAACACTTCAAGAAATTCATTACCCCTATTTTTGGGGTTAAATGTAGAGGCATTTTTTTAAAATTGCTATGTGGAAAATTTCTTTCATCCTGTATTCTTTCATTATTTACTGACTTTTTTATTAGTCTTATAAAATTTTTTGATGTTTAATTTCCTCACAAACTTCTGCACATCTATAAATGTATCAAATTTTATTGGCCCATGGTACATATTTCAAATCCAAATCGAGTACTTTCAACTCATTATCTGTTAAAACAATATCACTCAAATTAAAAATTCCTTCTCCTAATCTTCTCTTTTTCTTTTCTTCTTGCTTTCCTCCTCTCTTCCCCCTGTGCCTTCCTTCCTTCCATAATTTACTTGCTCTCTCCACCCCCTCCTTAGAAAATTGTTGTAGAAGATTAGGAGAAGGAATTTTTAGGATGTGCAGAAGTTTATGAGGAAATTAAACATCAAAAACAGTTTTTGAGACTAATAAAAAGTCAGTAAATAATGAAAGAATACAGGATGAAAGTAATTTTCCACATAGCAATTTTAAAAATGCCTCTACATTTAATCCAAAAATAGAGGTAATGAATTTCTTGAGGTATTTAAACATATGGTTGAAAATGATATTAAAAAAATTCAGTTTAAAAACAAAAAAATATTATCCCTCGAGACATTAAGATGGGTATAAAAGAAAAAAAAGAAAAATGTGGTAATTCGAGCTGCAGACAAAGGTGGTAGTATAGTGGTAATAAATAAAATTGATTATGAAAATGAGACGGAGAGATTATTAAATATAAAAGATACTTACCTAATACTGAAAAAAATCCTACTAAAATGTTTAAAAATCAACTAAAAAAGATCATTAAAAAAGGTACTGATTTAGGAGTTTTGAATAAAAAAGAATCAAGATATTTGCTACTAAAAAACCCTAGAATTCCCATGATTTATTCTCTGCCTAAATTACACAAAAATAGAACCAAACTACCAGGTAGGCCTATTGTAAGTGGTATTAACTCTATATTTGCGAGAATTGGAGAGTACATTGACCACTTTTTGCAAGAAGTTGTGATAAAAAATGAATCTTTTTTTAAAGATAGTGGAGATTTGATTAAACACCTTAAACCTTTGAGGAATGTAGAAGACTTTCTGTTGGTAACAATAGATGTTGAGTCATTGTATACAAGTATAGATCAAGATGATGGGATTAAGGCAGTGTATTGGGCATTGAAATATAAAACTAAACCAGGGGTGGACTGACCATCTTGAAACTCGGGCACTGCCCGAGGGCCTGGGTTCAGTAGGGGGCCCCATGAGATGCCCCTGGTACCTTTTTCATACGCTTTTTTGAGTTTGGGCAAGGACAAAGGGGCCCCATGAGTTGTCAGTCCACCCCTAAACTAAACTCAAAAAAGTTCATAGGGAATTTATTGTTGAATTATTGGAATTTGAACTGAAGGACAATTTCTTCTGGTATAATAAAACTTTTTATAAACAGTGTAAGGAAGTGGCTATGGGAGCCAAATATGTCCCGAGTGTTGCTAATTTAGTGATGGCGAAATGGGAGGAAGAATTCATCTACAAGAAATGGCCAGAGATGGTATTATATAAACGATACATCGATGATATTATAATAGTGTGGAAGGGTACTGAAGAAGCATTAAATCTCTTCTCAGAATCCATGAATATTTAATAAATATGGTTTAAAATTTACCATGATGAGTAATTTCAATCAAATAGATTTTTTGGACTTGTCCTTGTTTAAATGTGAAGGCCAAATTTATATCAAAACATACTTTAAAGAAGTTGACAGGAACAGCTAAATACCAGTATCTAGCTGTCACCATCCAAGGTGGCTTTATAGTACACCCAAGAGCCAATTTACTCGTATTAAAGAGAAACTGTAATTTAGACACTGATTCTTTGTCAGAAACTGACTTATTGATAAAAAGATTCATTGAGAAGGGATATGATGAAGAGAGATGTAATAAAATTCAGAAATAGAGACTCTTTATTGGAGAGAAAAAAAGGTGATAGGAACAATAAAGGAGTTGTGTTTATTATTGATTTCAATGCCCAATACAAAGATATAGAAAATTTTTTAAAAAAATATTGGCCTATACCAGGGGTGGGCAAACTGCGGCTCTCCAGCTGTTGCAAGACTACAAGTTCCATCATGCCTCTGCAAGTCATAGCTGTAACTGTCACTTTTGTAATCATGGGAAATGTAGTTCCACAACAGCTGGAGAGCCGCAGTTTGCCCACCCCTGGCCTATACTAATGAGAGATGAAGTTTTATGAGATGAGGAATATTATTCCAAGTAAACCAAATTTTGTGTATAGAAAAAATATGTTTTTGAGAACAAGAATCATGCATAATATTATTGATCCACCAAAATACATGAGCCTGTTTCCTGGTTTAGAGGGATTTCATTATTATAACAAATGTAAAGCTTGTAAAAATACCTCTAAAAAGAGAAATTGAGTAGTGAAACACCTTAGATCTTCTTCAACCAATCAAGAACATAAAATTAAACCACTAATATCTTGTGAATCCACACATGTGGTATATATGTTGGAATGTCCTTGTCATTTCCAGTACGCTGGAAGAACAGTTAGAACTTTAAAAACAAGAATTTCGAGAACATATAAATAATATTAAGAAAGGATTTGATAAACATAGTGTATCTAAACATTTCAAACTGTATCATGATTATAATAGGGAAGTGGAGGGTTTTAGCTCTACTTCATTGTGAATATAAGATGGTTAGATTCCATTAACATAAAAGATTGATAATGTATTAAATATGGTAAGGAAGAGTTCCACTTTGCATATTGGCTTTT